ATGGATCACTTGGGTTGTTACCGACATGTGGTGAAAATTTCATGTCATTAGCACCTCTAGTAATATATTTACTGAGAAAAATAGTGACGTGTTCAATACTTATTTTACCTGCTGTATATATTTTTTGCATATTTGTTAAAACTATTACTATGTCCTGACAGTAGGCTATGAGACAGATAATCTGTGAGAAAATAAAGTTCCTCTGGCTCCTCCCAGTGGTCCTACTGCTGTTTGCAGAAATACACTCCCAGTCAGAAACAGCCAATCAGAGCCAGGGGGATTGTCTTACCATTGTCAATACACACTGCTCATGCCCTTCCCCTGCACAGCGCTTACCATCATTCAAGCTCAAGATTGTCTTGTGTTGCAGCTGTGCTGTTGGCGGAGAAACAACCTAATGTTACAGACTTTCAAGTTCACGATTTTCTCAGAACTCCCTACTGTAGCTTTAAAGTGTTTTTTTTTTGTGCTAAAATTTTACAGATGTTTGTTATCTCTTTAAAAAAGCTAGGTACCATCTCTTTGTCTTGTTCCAGCTGCTGATGTCAGTGTTTGACAACAGCATGAAAACCTACAACGTTGTTGAGAATGACCCGTATGACTGGGAGAGAACCAGCACAGATTGCTCCTCGACTATCAGCGCCAGTGCCACGACACCACAGCATCACACTCGCCTCACTCCTGCACACATGGGGTATGAATACATCAATCTAAACCTCCTTTTTAAAAATAAATACATGGGGTTTTTGAGACAAAAATCATATTTAAAGTTTTGTGAAAAAGTATTTGCCCCTTACAGAATTGGTTTTTCTTGCTTTTTTGTCACACTTAGACATGTCAGATCATAAACAAATGTTAAAGGGATCCCCGATTAGTTGTAACATTAGACTTTATTTGATAAACTTTTATTTTAACTGTAAAATAAAGACTGTAAAAATACTTTAGGCTGTTTAGTTTTAATCCTTTTTAAACTAAAAGTTTAAAAATATATTATACGGACGGGGCCATTTTATTTACACGCAAAACATTCTGGGTAAATGACCTATCCTCGCACTGAGGATAGGTCCTCAGTGTGAGGCTGCTAGCGAGCTATATCCACCCTGAAGGTTAATCTTGGACAATATCTGACGATTGACTCTTTTAAATGAAACCAGAGAGCGTTGACAGAGAGGAGAAGGTAGAAATGACTCAGCCTGTAACTGAAAATATAGATGGAGGACAACAGAGCTGCTTCATGGAAGAAGAACCTCAGCTTAGCCTGTTAGCTTTAGCATTAGCCCCGACGCAATCACCATATTTATGTATTAGCTCAGCGCTACACATTCTCCTCTCGTCACTGAGGTCCTCCATCCACATGTCAGAGAGGGGAACACAAAAATGACTCAGCCTGTAACTGAAAATATGGATGGAGGACCTCAGTTTAGCTTGCTAGTTTGTTGCGCTAGCACCGAGCTAATACATATAAGGCAATATAGTGTCGGCGCTAGCGCAAAGGCTAACAAGCTAAGCTGAGGTTCTTCCATGAAGCAGCTCTGTTGTCCTCCATCCATATTTTCAGTTACAGGCTGAGTCATTTCTACCTTCTCCTCTCTGTCAACGCTCTCTGGTTTCATTTAAAAGAGTCGATCATCAGATATTGTCCAAGATTAACCTTCAGGGTTGATATAGCTCGCTCACACCGATGACCTATCCACGTCATCATTTACCCAGAATGCTTTGTGTGTAAATAAAATGGCCCCATCCGTGTTAAAATATATTTTTAAAAATTTACAAAACTAAACAGACTACAGTATTTTTACAGTTTTTATTTTACAGTTAAAATAAATGTTAATCAAATAAAGTCTAATGTCACAACTAATCAGGGATCCCTTTAATATCCGACAAAGGTAATCTGAGTAAATGCTATAATCCAAAATTGACTTTTTTTAAGCTTTATAAAATATAATGTTCTAATGTTGTTCCCTCTTCAAAAGCATAATCAGTGTTGCTTTGGCTCCTTCATGCATATTTTGAGAAATCCTTAAATCTCCTGTGGTAGCCATGTGGACCTGCCTAAACACTTGCGGGAACAAAGCACCGCCTACATGTACATAGCTCCTCTGTGGAGCTCAATTTGCAGCTGTGCTCCCGCCCCACAGAGGACCCCTCCCCTGAAGCATTGTTTGAAAACGTGCTGAAGTGTTAGTGTCTGAAACGGTTGGAAGATCTTAAAGAGACCGAGGCCCATTTCAAGGTGTTTAGATGTTTAGCAAAGTCAAATTTATTTTTGATATCTGCAGCTTTTTCATAAAAACTGAAGGTAACATGGTTGAATGTAGTATAGGAAAATACATAATACCCCCTTTAAATGTGATAAAAATGCAAAGCAGCAGAAATCTGTAAAAGTGGCAAGTACTTTTTCCCAGTCCTGTTTATGATCAGTAACTTCATCCTCAGCAACACTTTGGCTCAGTGTTTGCACCTTTTTATCGCTGCAGCATGGCGAACGCCTCTTTGATCCCGGGTGACCTGCTGAAGGAGAACACAGACGAAGTTCTGCAGGATGAGCAGCTGAGTGACGTGGAGAACAATCCTGTTCCTGAACGTGTGCCAGGTTCCCCAGTCCATCCACAACGCAACCAGGAGGCCGACGTCTGGGAGGAGCTGGACCGCAACCGTAATCGCATCAGGACGGCAGCCTGGAAGGTAGACTGCAAAAGTCCCTCCGTGATTGTTTTATTGCTTCACATGCTGTGGTGAGAAAGGCTTGCCTTGAGCTGAAGTTCTAGTTGCACTGAAAAGGTTTTGGTTTGACAGACGGCAGCAGAGGAGGATCAATGTAACAACCAGGGCAATCATGGACACCAGAGTCCCTACGCAGGACCGAGTCTGGGCTCTCCTGTCAAAGTACACTCAGAGGTGGCCCCTGCAGATCGTGATGGACCCCTCTTGAGAAAACTTCGGAACATCCACAGCTTAGAGCTGGAGAGGAGGCTGGGCCTGGACTCCAAGCTCGGCCAAGAGCGGTTCCTGGAAGCGTGGTAAGATTTTGTTTGTAAGCAGTCTAACACAGTTTGTTTTTTGTCTTTCAAAAGTTAATGAGTTGTACCTGTCCTTTTAATTTTTCTAGTTAATCAAATTCAAGAAGACAACCATAGCTAAAATGATTCTTTGTTCTTTCAGGTCATCTGGAGAACTGATTGTTTGCTTTAATCTTTTTCAGTTCAGGAAAGCAGCAGTTCAGCCCCCAGCATCAGGAGAAGAACGCTACTGGAACCCAGGGTCCTGCTGTGGCTGCTGGTGAGCGTTCTGACAGGGTCTGGCACTACGATGAGGAGTTCCGGTCCGGAGATGGTTCTCCTAAGCCTGCATCACCTGGATCTTTTGAGCAGGGAGAGGGGGCAGCTAGTAGTGGGGGCTTTGTGGCTCTAAACTTAAGCTCTGGGAGGCAGGACATTGACTCAAAGGAGTGGGTAATGGTGGAGCGGCCCAGTGGCTCCCCCGGGGCTAAAGCTACAACCAGCCCTTCGGAGGACGATGAAGAGCCCGAAGTGCTCCAGCCAGAGGAAGAGTCTCCTGGATGGGGTAAGGGTAGTCCGTGCCCGAGTCCTGGAAAAGCCAAGCAAGAAAGCATGGCTTCCTCTAAAGGAAGTGCGAAAATGGACAAACTAGAGCTTAGTGTGGGCCCTGCAGGGGCTGTGCCCCCAATAACTCCAACCAGCCCAGCTGAAGCTCTGGCTGAGGGAATCCTCACTCAGGTAAGGACTTTCCTTTGAAGAGCATTTCACAACATAGCAGACATGATAATGACTGAAGTCAGCATTTTACAAAGATAAAAAGCTGCAGAGTCCAGAGGCTGTGTTCGAATTGTCCACTCATTCACTATATAGTGCCCTATATAGTGAGTCAGCCATTTTCTAGTGCCGTTAGAAAGTTTGACCATAATTATTTTATGCACTATGAAGCACCATAGAAACTGATTACATGATACAGAAAAATGGACGCATCATTGGTGGAAATAGACCATAATGCACTGAGACCTGAGCCGACACATCGGGCTAATTGATGCTTGAATTTAATGTCTGCCGTTCTTTATTGTGAATTTCATCAGAATCTGTGAAATTGCTTTTAATTGTCCAGACATATCTAATATATTGCAGCTTGTCCTCCTCTGTCTGAGCAGTAGGGCTGAGATGTAATGAGAAAATAGGTCTGATATATCGTACATGATGAAACATGAAAAAGTATTATTATTATTATTTTTGTCAGTGAATTTACAGTGTAAAAGCTGAGCGCTGAATGACTTGGTTGAAAGTTGCTGAGGGTGCTGAAACTGAGTTGGTAAAGCTAAAAGAACACTAGCTAAAAGCTAAAAGAAGCAAATGCCAGCTAAAAGATTAATGTAGCAAAATGCTAAATGTTAAAGGTTGGTAGAAGCCACATGTCACCTTTGAAGTCAGTGACTACAAAAATATTTTGAAGATGATTCATAATTTTCAGTATATTAAAGGTTGTAATATACAGTAGCTGTACTGCAGTACATGATTGTGTAAATCATAGAATGAAAAGTATAACAGTTTATATTAATTTTATGGAGCTATAT